CAACTTTAGATTTTACTTCTTATTTCTAAGTAAAATACTTAAAGTAAAGGGACTATATTTATTTGAAATTTAACTATTTGAGGATTAAATTACAATTAACTATTTCTTTTTACTGGCACGTGAGAAGAATGTACTGTTGTCGTCGCTGCCGTCCGCCACATCAGCTGAGTGAAACAGTAACTGTCAACTAAAGGGCTAATTTGCTGTAATTTTACAGTTGAAGGGCTTAATTGCTTGTTTTTTGTTCAGTGGCTCATTTGCTAAAAAGGGATAACTTGAGGGGCTTAAAAAGGGTTTTGCCGTGCCGTGATTATATTAATAATATTCAATGTTTATGATATTTATGATAAAGATGAAGGACTAAATTTGGTATTTACTCAAAATTGAAAAGCTCCTAACTCTTATCTTTAAAGTCCTGAAAAAATAGAACAGATTAAGATCGTGCTTAGATGCTTTGAAACATTCTCCACCCTTTTTCCCCCAAAAATTCACCTTGTTCCCAAAAAAGGTGCCTTTACATTTTATGCGTGAATTATGAGGAAACTTTTTATTTGTTACATCTACAATGCCTTTCATCCTAAGAGAAGAAAAAGAAAGAAAATACAAAAGCAGGTGCAGCACTGTTCATACTTCATACTGCCCCCTTCGATAATTTGCTTCTTTTGTTTTCCTTCTGCTTGTGCTTTTATGGCTGCAGGGCGGACAGGTTCGTCTCCCACAAAGTCTTCTGCGAAGGAAAGTGGCAGAGCAATCACGGGGGCCAACCCACTCCAGCCATAAAAACACAAGCAGAAGAAAACTCCGGTCAGGTCAACCCATCAGAGGGCCCACGGGAGTAGGTGCGAATGGCCCATCAGAATCACAAAGCTCAATCCCCAAAAAAGAGGGGAATTATTCAAGCAAGAACACGATTTCACACCTACAGGATGCATGGGAGGTCACGGATAATACATTTTCTCCGCTACCTCAGCCAGGACTACTCATGCCAGAGTCTTTTTCCTCCCGCTTGATGTCAATTACTCTCCCTTCAACATTATTCTATGTCCATCCGTCTCTCCTCCGAGAATTAGATTTGTCCCACACTACTATCAAGTCCTTACCAGAATCTCTTCCCAACTTGGTTGCACTTCAGAAGCTCATTCTAAAATGCTGTGATCTCTTCATGGAACTCTCCCCTCAAGTTGGAGAACTGCTGAATCTTGAGGAGCTTGATCTCAGTGAAACTGAAATTCTAGGCCTGCCACAAGAGATCAGGAAGTTGTCCAAATTAAAATATTTGAGAGTATCATTTTATGGATATTTGAATTGTGGAAAGGGATTACAGCAAAGTTCACTAGTTCATACGGGGACAATATCAGCTCTCTCTCAGCTGACTGAATTAAGCATTGATGCCAATCCTGACGATGAGCGTTGGAATGCGGTCGTTGAAGCTGTTGTAGAGGAAGCCTGCAACTTGAAAACATTGGGGTGCCTAATCTTGTACCTGCCTAATATTGAGAGTTTGGGAAAACGCAGAATAGGTAGCACATCACTCAGTTATTATCCCTTGCGTGGGTTCAAGTTTACTGTTGGCCAACATAAACAGCGCAGCATCTCTCGAGTACCAAAAGAAGTTAAGGCTCATTTTCAAGAATGGGACAAATGCTTAAAGTTTGTTAAGGGAAAGGATATCCCGAGGGAAATGAAAAGCGTACTTAAATCTACAACAGCATTCTACTTGGACTGTCATGCCACTGCTAGAAGTTTGAGCGATTTTGGGATTGAGAATATGCAACAGCTAGAATTTTGCTTATTGGCAGAAAGTAATGAAATCCAAACCATCATAAATGGTGTAGAGTCTTGCAAAGAACCAGCTGATATGTTAGAAGATGATCCAGACAATTCTGAATCTCTAAGGTCACATTCTGCTCTAGAACCTGCACTTTTGAATCTACAGCACTTGCATATCTTTTACCTGAAGAAATTAGTAAGCATTTGGAACCCAACCTGTAAGAAGCTGTAAGAAGCAGTGTTTATCTAGCTTAAAGTTCCTAACACTTCATATGTGCCCCAAATTGGGTGCCATTTTCTCTCCAGCTTTGATGGCTAATCTTGGCAAGTTGGAAGTACTTGTTGTCAAAAATTGCCCTGAAGTGACCTGTGTAGTAAAAGGAAGATGCAATGAATTCATTAACCCTTTGATACCTTATCTTCCTAGCTTAAAAAGGATATCACTCCTTTACCTACCAAAACTGGTCAGCATTTCTGGCGGATTTCAAATTGCACCAAAACTAGAAAAAATAGGATTTTACAATTGCCCAAAGCTTGAGTGTCTTACTACAAGGGAAATGTCAAGTGGAGATTTGGTAGTGATAAGAGGAGAAAGTAAGTGGTGGGAAGCATTGAAGTGGCATAAATCAGATTGGTGGAATAAGAATCGGCTTGATTATCTCCAAAGCATTTTCTCCCCATTATCAAGGGAGAAAGATGTGATGACACAAATGGAAGAGATGTAGATGTCCATCAACTATCAAGCAATCAAACAAGAACGGTATTCAATAGCCAAGGAGATCTTTTATTTATTGTTATTTTATCAGTATATTTGCATAGTCTAATGATTTGAATTTTATACACCTTGTAGTCTTTCAGATGTTTATGACCTAAAATTTATTCAGAATATTCTACATTTTTCACACTCTCATTTCCTTTCTGTCGATGAGTGACTAGACCAGGACAATTTACCTAAATCTAGGAACTAGATGCAAAGACGTACACTGGTTATGTGGATCTTGTTAGATTTTAGATGAAGTCACAGAGGCAGTGCTGAGATTCAAGCCTCGGAATTTGGCTGAAAGTTTGTTTTCTGATATAGCTGTATCAAACCTTGCGTGTTTTTGAAATTTATGTGATATAGAACTATGATGGAGTGCATGCAATTAGAATCCCACATCAACAATGATCAAGAAGATAGTTGTAGCTTAGAAGATTTCTATCTTGTATCATATACTGCCTCAATTTTTTCAATTATTGTCTTGTTTAACACCTCTCTGTATACAACAATATCAATCCCATGAATATTCATATTAACATCCTTCGGCAAAGTATAGTTGAATAAAGCCCGCAAAAGACTACGGGATTTATGCTCCAGGCAACTTTTGCAGCCTAGCAACCCTGGAGAACCTAGTATAAGCCACGAGTAGAGAGTCTGCCTCTGGTTCTGGTCTAGGCCCCTGGTTTGACACTTTAGATTTTGTGTTCCAACCTTCCAGCATTTGAAATGAGTAGCTGTTAATGGCAATGTGTTATTAGTAAGCAGTCAGCTCGGTGGAGGCATTCTGTTTTTCAGGACCATGCATAAAATCATATGAATTGTACAAGGACGGACAGGTAAAAGCCTTCTTACCTGAGTCCTCCTTCTGACCAGGCAGCTTCAAAGATTCCACTTGCTGCATGGAAAGCCATATCCACCATGTCTTCATGGATCATTGCTGCAGCCACTGCGTATGTGACTCCAGACCATATTTCTTTTGATTGCATTGATGACATATTGACTTCTCCCGCTGGGTAACATACCATTTACAGCCTCTCACTTACCATCTTTCACCTTCAATACATTAGAGTTGTAAACCGTCTTTAGTGCAGTCCTTGCTTTATCCTTATTAACAATTGGCAAAAGGCCACATGCCATACCTATAATGTCACGAATTATGAAATGAAATTTTGGAAAGAATGAAAAGGCAACCATGAAAAATGGAAAAACAAACATGTATCAGAAGATACCACTGTCCAGCCAATTGATCAGTTTGAATGGATGAGCTATTGGCACCACTGCTTTCGTTGCAATTGAAGTAAGAACTACAACAATTTTTTTGCCCTCTAAAACTTGCACCAAAAGTAATACTTTGAGCCCTTATCACCTACTTTATGTGCCGAGGCTGATGCATGAAGTTCCTTTAATTGGGGCCATGCCAATGATGCATCATCACTTATAGTTCTTAATTGTGGCATGTCAAGAAGTTCTAAGACTTCTAAATTTTGCATCGATCCAACAACCCCATTCATAATCAACTCTTAAATCTTGTAACAATTTTAAATGACAAGTTTCTTGATTGGCGTGAGTATCAAACCATCAAAGGATATTTTTGTCAACAATGGGCAACTTTCAATTACCATGGTATGTAGTTTTGAGAAACTTTCTTACGAGCAAGTTCCTTAAATGCAACTGTTCCAATATTGATGGGATGTCTATACCTCTTGCATTAGTGTTGTCCACAACAATTGCTATCTTATTGCATCCCATCACAAAATTATCCTTAAAATTTTAATTTAAAAAAAAAAAACTAATTATTTTGAGAAAGAGAGAGTACAAATAAAAATTAATTTTTTGAACTAAATGAAAAAAGAAAAAAATATATAT